AAATTATTATGTTGCAATTTATTCTGTCTTTACTTTGACACAGCTACAGGCTGTACACTGAAACTGTGTGTAGTTTTCACATTAGAATATAAAATATTTTCTTGAAAAGTACACAATACCCCAATCTATCCTGATACACACATTTATCACCACTATAACCACACTAACAACCACACCTTTCCAGCTGTATCCCAGCTAGTAATGCATGGTTGAGGTCGCGCCTGCAGAATCCTACTGCCGACAATGTGACATTATCTTCACATCCCGGGGTAAACTCGACCAACACTACAGTTTATATCACGACGCTCTTCCCTCTGATGGCACCCTACCCGCTCAAGGAACTTTAACATCTTACATCGTGAGTAAAAAACTAATTTAAATCTTTCGAAAGATTTTTCATCCGCTAGATATTTGTCTTTACCCTTCTTTAAAGGGTGTAACTTCAGAATTGTGTATGTAAACGTTTTAACTGGTCCCAAGTTCTAACTTTGTTGGGCTCGTAATCTACTTGCAGGTCATTTAACTACAATCAGATAATCAGATCTTCAGCCTACCTTTTAATTACCTTATATAATTTGGGGTTAGATAAAGTTTATATGTATCTTTAGTACGGTATAAGGTAAAGTTTCCATTGAACCCACGTTCTTCAAGTATTGGCCTCGTGATCAACTACGATTGGAGCTTCATCCAACCTTTTCAGAACTTCAAATATGATAACGATCCACGTACCAGTTTATATTGGCAACGAATTTTAAAGGTATTGAGTTCATTTTGACCTGAAAAATTGATTCGTCCCATTTGCTTTTTGATGACTTTTTCCAATGGCAGGAAGAAAGCCCAAACGATTTTTTTGAAGAAGTTGTTATGGTAGGGGAAACTCATCGTGTGTAGTGTAACCATGGAAAAATTCTTAATCAGCGTGTTTTAATGTCTATTATTTCCTCTAATTATGACGTCGTATTGAACGATCAACACGTTGACCTGCTAGAGGAAATAATACATTTTCAACTTATTTTATAATGCGGCTAATCAAACTATCGCTCAATCATTCAACTTAGTTTTTAGATGTGTTTTAATGATTTAATTGAATGTTTGAACTCTTTGTAGTGTTATTTAGTGTGTCGAACTCTGTGTGTTTATAGTGTACCTGATCGTGTGTAATTGATAGTATCAAATTACGGGCGGGAGTGTGCCGTTTGAAGTATCTTATGATCTCATATCCGTTTAAAGGTGGGCAGGTCGAGGAGACTCCCCAGATTGGTGTATTATAATTATATTTCTCCTGGTCCTGTCGGTTGGGTATGATCATTTACGGTCAGCAAATTGTTTGTAAGTCAATAACTCCTTCGAATCTGTTTTCCGGCTTTGCGATTGCTTGTGTATAAAAGGAATGGTTAATCACATATTATGATCTCAGTTAATGATTTAAATTGTGTGATCTTTTTGTGGCACACGACTCACTTAATAATGACATCATACTTTTCACGTGTACCTAGATAAAATAATAATTCATTCCACCTCCCTTCCATAAACATTAATATAACACATACTTATTGAGCTGTTATTCCAGGAACAGTGTTAATAGTTCATAATGAGTAACAGTTTAGCTGCCACAGTGTCCTAACTGCCACCCCCTCAGCAGCAGCAGGAGCCAGAGAAAACCCCCGAGTACGCGGACCATGAGTTCAGTGTGCAGAACTTGCAGTGCCCCAGCAAATGTTCACTTTGCCACCAGATCATCTGGGAGGTTGCTGTTCGGTGAGTAGTTATAGTATACACTAAAATAACTAGGTTATATTCTATATTAATACTAAAATAACTAATAACCATGTACATACATTGTACAAATGTGAATACTATTATATTATAGTATACAAACTTCTTTTTTTTATATTTAGTCCTCACTTTCTACATATAGTTTCCTACCAGGGCGCGGCCGTAGTTTAGCCAGCACTTTCTGCTCTTTTTATTATAACTTCGTTCTAATATTATAGCTATAGAGTACACAGTGTAGGTAGATTTGATCATGATATCACATATCACTAGCCATGTTAACTGCAGGTTAGGGTATGAGACTGTCTTGGCAATGATTGACTGCACCGCAACACTTCACTTCTATCATGAGTTTTCATTTGTTGGTTCATTCCCCCGACTTATTTTATATACTAAGCAGTTTGTCCCTGATCCGACGGTTTTTTTATAAGTTGTTCTTTAAAAGTTGATGACAGACGTTTCTCAAGCCGCCATGCACCGGTTGCATGGAACTCTCTTCCACTGATGTTGAGATGTATTACTGATACCAACTGTTTCAAGCGAATGTTAAAGAACTATTTATATAATCAGTTTTTATGTTTTTTTCTTTCCATTTGTCTTCACTTTGCAAGACACCTTGGCTTTTATTTTTTACCGCACTCCATTTTATGTCTTGATCTCTACCTTGTAGGATCTCAGATCTGTTTCTCTTTTTGTTGATTACGTCACTGTACTAACCTTTATTATACCTACATACTTACTTACTTACTTATTTGCTTATTTGCTGTTTTAGCTGCGCTGCAGCAGGGCCATCAACTGAAATGACCACCCTTATGTTTTACTTCGGACAACCATGGCTACATAGTTACGGCATGTAACCGGCACTTACAGGAAACCGAAGGATCAAGTCTAAGGCCAGCGACGGTTAAGGTGTTATACCACACTTTATATGTATTGTATGGTTTCTGCTTCTTTTTAGTTTAGTGTGGTTTACAATAAAAGATGTTTCAATTTTGTCTTAGCCTTATAATGAGTTATACTTTTGTTCACTTTTACAAATTTGCTCACATCACTCACAGTCAGCCGCTCTGACGTGGTTAACCACCTTCCTTGTGCTGTTGGTTAATCATATGCTCGGGATATAAATACCTCATTTCATTTCATTTCAAACATGATGGAAGTTCAGCACATGGTATGACCAGACAACTTCTTAAAAGTGTCAGACCAATTATAATTACTCACGAATCCTAATGTAAGGAGGCCCCTCCTTTTTAACCTCACAAATTAAGCTACTAATTGTGTACAGTTCGGTCTGATTGTAACTGGTTGTCTCAGTCCTGTCTCTCCAGAGAAGTAGGTTAAATTCTCACGCTCTGTATAAATTCAGGATTACTCCCTGACATTTTATCGCTTCGCTACTAAGAATTGCATGACTTACCGCTGTCATTTCATTTGAAAATGTTGTTATATCTGTTACTACAGTATGTTTATAAATCGGTAGCTTGCCATTTTCGAATGCGCTTGAGTGTATTGATTTTCATCATGTAGAGACTAATTGTAAACTAAAATCTTTGTCAGGGTGGACCTGTCACCCCAGCTAGGCTATCTGGTGACCATTAAAGTGTGGCACTTGTATATTATATAGCTTGTTAGAATTGTGTTTAAACATTTGATAATCTGTTAACAATTTTCTGCTCATAATTGCAACATAAACTTTATTATTAAATATAAATTATGCGGGTGTGTGATGTGCAGGGTGTGTGTAGAACTGTGTTAGTTATGTTCATTAATATCCCGTGCTGATGTACTGCATGAAATAAAATGGGGTCTCACCTCCGAAATATGAGACGACCTTATTCCCACCAAACTGGAATTACTAACGCTAACATTGACTTCGTTACGGTGGTCATTGTAAATCTACCCCGGGTCCTCCCCGGCCAAATATAGAACATTTACTGATACAGGAGTGATTGGTCACGTGATGTGTCAGGGTGGTCACGTGACTGTTCACCTCAAAACACGTTATATATTATCGCCCTCCTTAGTCCGTGGCGCGGTGTTTCTCTGAACTAAACTCGGAGTCGTGAAGAGTGTCAAACTAACAATAACGTAATGACAGAGTCTCGGTGGAACTAGCAGCGGAACAGGGATTACTGATCACAGTACTCCACACTATACTGTCAAAACTAGCACGCTATATCCGCTTACTATATCCCACCTTCTAACTCTCCTAATTTACCGCTGACACGGTGTCACATGATCCACTCTATTGAACTTGATTGTAACGCTAACAACTTCCCCACTGCCAGTCCTGCTTCTAACTCAATATATTCTTCAGCTGGGTAGAACTGAGAAAGTGTTAATTGGTCGCAATCAATCGCGGATATGCGTGCTAATTGTCCTCTCTCCCACACCCCAAGTACTTCTAGTGCACAGTACTTGTCCACCGTGGTCACGTGTCATCTTGACACTGATAGGTTTCCAATAATAAATGTCAGGAGCTATATATATATATTGCAGTGTGGTTTACACCCGTGACTCTGTACCTGGGACCCCGAGGGTCAAGGTAGTCCGTACTCCTGAACTCCAGCTATTATTGGGAGAGATAGCTGCACGTGATATCGCACTTTAGTCACGTGATATCACTCCTGAAGTCACGTGGTGTTCAGTTCCTATTAGTGACGACACGTTCCATATCCCTGCTCGCTGTTCTCAAATTGTATGTGTGTCTGCTCGAGCTGGTTGTATGCTTCTCTCCTAACTTCTCCCTATTTTTTACTGACTTTCACCAGATACATCTTTGTTACCGTTCTATAAGGTGTGAAATTAACGCACCCCAATTTTCAAATTGCCGTGTTTTGGTAGCTGCTGTAGGTTTTCCCTGACTAAGGGTTCAACAGGAACTGGTTAACACGCCTCGTCGACTGGGGTTCCGTTTGGAACTAGTCTGAAGTGGCTTCTCTTTTGTTAGGCATCTCCCTCACCCTCACTTATATCAGGACTATCTCCAGACTGTACGTGTTCTTCCGGCACTTCTTTTTAACTGTCGGGTGGGGCACCCTCTCAATCATTAGTTCTTGTCGTCACGACTCAAAAGCAGGGAAACAACCGACTTACTTTGCCGATACTCGAAAGTAGTGAGACAATTTTAACAGCTCTCGGCAAAATTGCTTTCCGGTGTCAATAGTGAGCACATCATATTACAAAATGACGTTATAATAATTCGCATTGCAAATTATCACATCTAGCAAATTATTTGTCATGTACATGTAACAATGACAATGTAACAATGACAATGTATTGCCGTACATTTGTTAAATAGTACGTGGTGTGGGGGCCAGGATTTGTAAAGTTCGTTCGTGTCAGACGTCTCCTCCATCGTCCTCGTCTTCTCTCCCCTCCCTCCCTCTAATGAGATTAGCTCCACTCTCAATCTGTGTATTTGGGAAGATGTGCGAGCTGGCGAGGCCACCTTGCGGCTGTGCCATTGTTCGCTTCACGTATTGATAACATGCACCGCCCATACTCTTGTGGAGATGAATCAGCTCCTGCAGCTCATACACAGCCATACTTTGTATTATATCAAACCTTGCTTATCACATCTCTTTCTCGCGACAGAGAGAGAAAAGAGTCGTCTTATTATGAGACGCTGTGTCATGTGTCTAGCGTGATGTTGTGCTCAGATCTGGTAGTCTCTTTTTAATGTTCAACTGTTTTGTCGCGACTTTATATTATAACTTTAAACGTTAACACCGCCTAAATAATAACTGATGGTATGACGACATCCCCCAGGCCAGATCCCATGTCCAATATATTTAGACAGAACCACCAGTACTATCATTATGAATTGTTTTAAAGGAGCGAGTGACGAAGCGTTGTTGACCAGGTAAGCCGATCCGAGAATTACGGCTCCAATTACTCACAATCATGTGTTCATATCTTTCATCGCGTATAATTTATTACTTGCCCGCCCTCAGAGCGCGCTCTTAAACCTCACCTCGCTTCTACTTTTCATTCCACTCACCTCGTGACTCTTATACTGTAGACTAAAATCTTTTCTCTCATTTTTTGTGGGTTCGTCTCCCTGTGCGTGTCCTTGTGTTGCCGTATCGTGATACATATCTCTCTTACATAGTATCTCACACACACTGGAGTATTATATATACAGTGGGAACCCTGCTCACCTCCCGCTCTCCCTTTCCCAGTCAGACGCTATCTCCCTGCTACAGTAAGTGGAGATGAAAGGTGCCCTGTAGGGATTGATAGTCAGAGCATTGAGTTCTCTGTTATATCATTATATATATCAGGTGTGTGCTATTAATACAGTATATAAAGCGCCCTGAGACTGGTATATACGTTATATCAGTTGTTCAGATCTGTGGTCGGTTGTACTGATTCTCCGAGCTCAGTGTCATGTTCTCTTACTAGCTCAGTGTTGTCTCATCTTGTAGTACTGCTGTCGTGTCCCGCTCTATAGCGTCTCTCCTCTACTCCTCTATAGTTCAACTTGTTATCTCTAACCGCTCACAACTGCAATCCGGCACAGTCTAACCGGATTTAATTGTCCGGATATCCGTTTTAAAGGTAAATGTCATGTCAGAGTTGGCTGTGTAGTTGTGTGATATTTGTTGAACCCTACATCTGACGTTAAGGGAGAGCTGTCACAAATTAAACAAAAGTCCGTATATCTAACCTTGTTAGGCGATGTGAGCGGCCGTCAAGCTGTCCATCATTAATTTCTGGTAAAAGTGGAGCTGTTAAAAGTAGTATATAGTATATATAGTGAAAGAGAGGGAGAGAGAGAGCTAGAGTTGAATCGTTAACTGTTTTAACAGTACACTGATTAACAAGCTGTTACTCCAAGTTACATATTTTAAAGCCAGTTTGAGGCGGCATCTCTCCCCGTACAAGCAGGCCGGTAGGGAGTGTGAAATGCCTGCTCGTATGTAGGGCCACGTATTATTCCCCGCACTGTGTTTCTTGACTACATCTAGACTGATTCCCGATGTTTAGAGCTGTCAGTTCCCCTGTGTTGTTTTGAGTGTGTTACAGTTGTGTTACAGTTGTGTTACAGTTGTGTTACAGTAGTGTTACTCTCAGGTAGGATATATTGGAGTTGTACATCTTCTAAATTACTTCGTCTCCTTACACCTAGCACTGGATACTTATATCCTCCAATATATATCTAGATATTTTCGGATTTTTGTGTCTTGATACCAACGTAAAACAATCTTTGTACTAGAGCTTTGCATTTTTGGCATTTTCCGTTATTGAATATTGATATTTCTATTTGAGAGATTTCATGCGGATATTGATTTTCATGAAAATCAAAATATTTTAAGTAAATTTACTATCTCTTCCTGAAATGCGAGATCGTATTATCATGGCCCAATATAGCTCAACATTATTCACAAGTTATCTACTATACACACAGTCTCTGTAACAAGTCAACAAGTGCCCTGTAATCCTTATCTAAAATAGCTCACTCTACTGTTATCCTTATCTAAAATATATCACCCCACTGTAATCCTTATCTAAAATATCTCACTCTACTGTAATCCTTATCTAAAATAGATCACTCTACTGTAATCCTTATCTAAAATAGATCACTCTACTGTTATCCTTATCTAAAATAGCTCACTCTACTGTTATCCTTATCTAACATATCTCACCCTACTGTAATCCTTATCTAAAATAGCTCACTCTACTGGTATCCTTATCTAAAATATATCACCCTACTGTAATCCTTATCTAACAATTTCTGTAACTCTTATCTCTCCAGGTGTCCAGCGTGTAAGATAAGGTGTCACCGACTGTGTTCTGATCGAGCCCCTCCTAAGTGTGTCAAACTCTCTCCCAAACTCAAAAAACCCAAGGTGCGTCTTGAGTAGTTAATTACTTTACGATTAGTTTGTTAATTATCTCTGTGTTTGTAACACCCAAATTTGGCCCATTTTCCGATGTGAAGTGTAAACCCGCCTTTGAGTAGAATCCACCGTGTAGTATCACCATCTCATTACCAAGAATAGCAGTGCAATTGGGAGAATAGAACTGTGTGGAGAAAAACTATCTCTTGAGTTTCTGCTGAATTTTCGCAGCTCTGCTGTGTAGAAATACTTCATAACAAGGAACTGAAACTGCTAGTTTCGGGTGTGTATTCTACGAATATCCTAATATCTTGGTATTTCTTGTATTTATAGATTACATACCACTTTTTTCTCAACTTCACTTCCTACTTCTGACTAACTCGGCACATACTTCAGGATCATCCAGGATCAGCGCGTGGGTTTGACTTGTTGCGGAGAAAAGTCGGAGAAAACAAGATGAGATACGTCGACGAGAAGTATGATTTGGATCTCAGGTATTTTGCTAGACGTTATTATATCAGAGCCCTTAATTAGCATCGGCTCTAAAACTCTGATTAAGTAATAGGAATTCCATTAGCGCTCTGCAATCTGCAGAAATATGCGAAGTTCGTTAACTGTCATGACGTTGAGGGCATGTAATGAGGCGCGCCCGTTTTACTTTCAGTTTTTGGGAGCACTTTCATCTTGAGATGGAGAGCTTTTATATTAGCCCTCCCGGCTCGCCTTTAGATAAATAGCCAGGCTGAGTATTTGGGTGGGTTCGCGGCATTCAAATGTCATTACGTTATCCAGTATTTTTCCAAGGGATTCTTTTCAGATGTGAACTGTGTGTCCTTCGCTGCTTTTTGTGATTAATGTCACCCAAAACTCAAATCAAGGGCTGACCGGAAGTCGTTTCAATATTGTCGAGTGTTAAAATTTCATTAGACTAATGACCAGTAACTTGAGGGAGGAGCTGGCTGATTCGTTTTCATGCACTCTGTCGCTCCTGTGACATTTATCTTTTTTCCTATTTGTCACAGCATATTAGTGGGATTATTACAGTCTTCCTTTGAAAATGCGCCAACATTTGATATGTAACTAAGGAGTGTTCCTCAAGAATGCTGATGTAATTTTCGAGAAGAGCCCTTCCCCAAATCTAAAACCGCTCTCCGAGAACGAGGTTATATCTCTCATCTCGGATAATATGGATGATGTAAGTGCTACATTGGATGGTAGCATGTAATTACTGAAGCCTATGTGATGATATCGGGTTGGATGAAGGACTGTTGTGTGAATTCCTCTCTTGATGTCGTCATCATCTTCCATGACATGATAACGTTCTGTAGAAATACGTCATTGTTCCGCATGAAGCCAAGTTCTAGAAAACCTATCAGTCCTTGGTAGGCAGATTAGGTATGCTGAATATTTCCGATGACGTCATGAGACGATTACCCAGCTAATGAATGTGTGACTTTTCGAGCTTGGTATTTGGGAAATAGGAGCGTGAACTGCGTCATAGAATTATTATTATTAACCATAACTAGCCTCTAAATCGTTCAGAAAATGTATCTAAGTTTCGCAGTTAACATTCTCTGTTGCCTCGGTACCCTACTCTTAAAAAATCTGAAAACCGTTTGCACTTAGGAACTATAATTACGTAACAGGTCCGACACGCCTATATCTGCAGCGATTTTTTCCAGAAAATTCCATAATCAGACCACACCTTTATATCGCACGGCAACACTGTTACCGTGAATCTACTGTGCACTGTGCAGGGTATTTCGGGTACCTTCTACTAATGTTACAGTTTCAGATCGCCTCTAGGCATTCTGACTTCCTTTTATGGGCATTAAGATAGTAAACAATCAGCATCGAGCTGCTGATCATATATTTCACGACTGCTGTCATTGTCGTAGTCAGTCCTTCTTGTTCCTTCTCAACTGTTCCTGTCGCTACGTAAACCTACGGATCTGATAGAATTTTACAATTTGCCACGGCTAGAAGTGTCCACTCTTCAAAAATCTGAAATGTTACCTCCACTATTACCGACTCGTGTCTTATCGGGGTCGTCTCAGTTGGCCCCCCCAGAGAAGTCACCTCGAACCAGGCTTACTTCTCCACTCGACTGTATTAACCCGTTTTCTTTCTACCTTGCTTTAAAGTGTCGGGAGTATATCCACAAGTAAGTCCCAATAATAACGCGTTGTAACATTTCTTATCTTTATCTTTATCAGTTCTGGTTTGTCATTTGTCATCACCTGATCATACGGATCAAACAGATGACAAAGTGATAATGGATCTTGTACCTAATATTTGAATCAGGAAACCATTAATTAATTTGCCGCGTGATAGCGACCTGCTTAATACTAACTACTTCCGCATCCACACACTCAATCCACAATCAGTGGTCAAAACATGACAGATATTTCGTGCACACGTGTGACCCTTCGGCCTCCTTGTTAAACTGGAAATAATCCAAGAAGATTAGAAAGCGAGTTTTGAGGTTGCCGGGGGTCACTTAACCAATGTTGAGATAAAAGTGTTCATTAGATTAGCGGGGCTGCAACACGGTACAGGATGGTAGATAGTACACCTGCAGCTGGCAGGGCGTGGCTGGCTGTACACCAGTACAATGCCTTGTACAGGAAATTATCTCTGGCGTTGCCATCTAGCTGATACTTGCCTACCGCTGCCAGCATTCGTTACTCTAATTAGCACTGCTGTCAGTTGTTGTGCAGCGCCAGTCCGCCTCACTCTCGCACTGCCTTCTTGCTCCCGGTTCCGCTCCGTAGCTCTATGTTGTCTATTTTTACGGCATGTTGGGTCCTCAACAGACACCGAAAGAAGCCCCACTTTCAGTGAGTACTCGTAACTCTGCATTACAGAGATCTTTCTAGCGAGATGTGGCGTTAGATTCCTGAACTCCTGGAAGGAATGCTCCGGGGAGACGGCTAGAGGGACCTGCCGGCCAAGCTGGCTCCAGCCCTGGCTAGAGGGGGCCGGCCATGCAGGCTCCAGTCCTCCCCCAGCCTTGGCTAGCGGGGACCTGCCGGCCAAGCGGGCCCAGCACTGGCTAGAGGGGACCTGCCTGCCGAGCTGATCCAGCCTTGACTAGCGGGGACATGCCGGCCATGCGGGCCCCAGCCTTGACTAGCGGGGACATGCCGGCCATGCGGGCCCCAGCCCTCCCCCATCCCTGGACTCTGTGCTATTTTTAGCCGCACAAATCCCGCTTACCCAGAACCTTGACTCAGTTTAAAACTATTGACAGTTGCTTAGTTTAACACGTTAACAACTTATAGCAACATATGCAAATAACGCGCGGTGGCCATGCTAGCTGGATTCGTAAGATATAGTAGTAATATATCAGCTATTCGAAACTCGATACACCTAGTAGTGTAGTTTATATGTCATCTACCGCGCCCCGCCCATCCCCAGCCTGGAATCTAAAGCTCTGTAGCTACACTAAGTCTCTGTTTCGCGTGTTGTCTCTCTCTCCCTTGTGCTCACAACATGGTTACTTTCAGCTACATCACCCCCCGCATCATTGCCATGTCCTACCCGGCCCAGGGATTGGAGGCTGCCTACCGAAACAAGCTTAAAGACGTGGCTGAACTCCTCGAGTCCAAACACAAGGACAAGTATTTGATAATCAACGTCAGTGACAGAAGCTATGACACCAGCTTTTTTAAGAATCAGGTGAGAAAATCAGAGAAACGCCTTGTGTGATTTTATAATAACTGTCTTGTGTTGTTTGTGTGTGCCATACTGTGTGACAACGTAATGTTTGCTTCGCTAGCCCCCGCTGCTACGGCTTCCTCTTACCAGCATTTACATCTATCATTTTACCCGCCACATTTTAATTTGCTGCATGCAAAAGTATAATGTTTGTGTAATTCACGTTCTTGTGTTACAAAAAGCAAGTAATAACACATTCTTGGGTAAGAGATGGAGAGTAAATGAAATGTTCTAAAAATAACATACCATGTCAGGTAGTAGAGTTCGGCTGGCCTGATCACCATGCCCCCTCGATGAATCTGCTGATCTGTATTGTTAAAACTATGGACAGTTGGCTCCGTGAGGTAAGGTGTTAAGTTATAGATGTGCCCCTTATCTTTACTCATTTATTTCCTTGTCATTTCTTATCTCTAGTGTAGTTCTTCCGTTTGTTTTAACTCGCGATGTCAGTCTTAATTTTAGACGAGTCCACCCATTGGGAACTCCCTGTCATCGACTAATTTCATGCTGACAGTTTGAAATTTGGAAGGTGATGAATATTACACATATTCTACTTGCATATGAAATTTGTAATGTTTCTAGTAGAGTTGATCCATGACTGACCACGCCCTGTTTTCAGGATCCTGACCACGTCATAGTGTGTCACTGTAAAGGTGGCAAGGGACGCACAGGGGTCGCCATAGCTGCATACATTCAGTTCAGTAACAGAAACCTTACTCCTGAAGAGGCCCTGGGCAAGTTCGCAGACAAACGGTTCTATGAAGAGTCACTAGGGGGCGTAACCCAGCCTTCACAGCGCCGTATGGTGCATTACTTCAGTTCTATTCTTAAGAATGAAATCCAACTTGAGAACAGACAGCTAATTTTAAACACTCTTATTCTGTTTGGCTGTCCTCAGATAGACGGTAAACATGGCGCCAAGATCTGTTTCTGTGTTTATGAGGGACTGAGATTAGTTCACACTACTAAAGTGTACGGAGTAACTCCAGACAGAGAACACGTGTATATCAACTTTGACAATCTCAAACTTCAGTCTGATGTTATGATCAAAGCTTTTCACATCGGTAAAACCGGACAAACTTGCATTCTGCGTGTTCAGTTCCACACAGCCTTTGTGAAGAAGGATTACAGTATGGTGTTCAGGAAGAAAGATATCGATATCGCCTGCAGAGACGACAGATTCCCAGATGATGGGGTGCTCCAGGTTATCTTCAAGCCTCGTGCCAGTGTGGTGACAGATACTTTAGACAGTTCTGCCCATCATTCTCTCATTACTGATCAGAAAGAGGCTCAAGAGTTGGAGCAGCTGACTCAGGACATTTCCCTCATGAGCTTTGACTACGCTGACTTTTCCTCCTTCTTCACTGACAACCCGTTGAGTGAATCTCTTCAGAATGAGTTAGTAGATGGCATTTTGCAGCTACATGATGATTACAAGCTGATATCACCTCTTCTCCCATTCTCCCCCTCTCCTCCTCCTTCTTCTGATCAAGACAGTGGAAAAGGTGAGAGTCCCCCTGCTGGAGCTCCACCCCCTCTACCACCTAAGGGCAAGAATAAGGATATTTCTCCTAGAGGCAGAGATTGCTCCTTGAATAGGAGCAGGGACTGCTCTCTCAATAGAAGCAGAGAGAAGCCTCTTCCTAGAAGAGATAATTCCCTCCCAAGCAGAGAAAATTCTGTCCCAAATAGGGACAATTCTCTCCCCAAAAGAGACAATTCTCTCCCTAAGAGCAAAGAAGCTCGCCCGAAGAGTAGAGAAATGATCCTGGATAACACAGCTCGTCCAGCATTACCTCCAAGAAGTGGAGCTCGACCACCTCCACCAGAAAATGCTAACATCCTCACTAGCTACCTTGTTGAGAGCAAGGAAGAAGTTGATTATCTTTCATTTGAAATAGCAACCCCTGTCAGAAACCTTGTGGAACACTTTGAGAGGGAAGATGAAACTAATAACTTTGAAAAGGAAGATGAGAATAACAACTTCGTAAACTGGGTTAAATTTGACGAAGAAGATGAGGAAATAGACGATGCTCTGATAGATCTGAAAACTCCACCCGGAACCATGTCGCCACCTGATGCTGTTTTCAAGGACAAGTCTCTAGAGCGCCCTTGTAAGAGCAAGCTAGCTGCTTCCGCTTCAGAACCTGCAGAGGGCTGCCAGAATCGTCGATCTGCTCATATGGACAGAGACAGAAACAAACACACAACCGTGGAAAGGAAAACTAAATCTTTGGAGTTAAACTCAGAGAATACTGTTGATAACACCGAGAAGGAAAAAGGCAAGGGAGATCGCAAATCCACATACATACCATATTTGAGACGGAAGGAGTCCATAAAGAAGGACAAGTCTGGAAAGAAACAATATGTGCCGTATAAGAACCGAACAGATAGTTTTGGAACCAACTCCAGATCAAGTTCGGAAAGTTCTGGATCATTCCTCTCCCCGCCACCCTTACCTCCACGAGGAGACAAAGCAGCACCAGGGCCAGGGTTTGGACCTACCACCAACGCTACTCTTTCTCAAGAGATGTATTGTGATTCTGACGACAACTTGGCTGTGCCACCTCGCAGATTGGGATCACTCTCCAAAAGCATGGACCATCTCCCGAGCAGTAATAAGGTTTCCATGGAGTTCGACACCAGACAAACATCTGATCCAGACTCAGTAGAGTTCAGTTTACAGAACTGGGAGAGAGCACAAAAGAGGATGATAATTCAGCAAACGAAGACCATTTGGTTCAGGCCGGATATCTCTCGGCAGGAATCGCAAGCCACCCTCGTTTCACAATGTCCTGGTGCTTTCATCATTAGGACCAGTCAAACTAAACCCAATTCTTTCGGACTGACGATCAGGCTGGACGACGGGCAAACACACGAAAAATTCGATCTCCACCCCGGGTCTCACAAAGTCAGCAATTTCCTTATCTTGAGGAAAGATAACCGCAATCTCTTTATCAACGGTTACAACGACGTGGACTTCCTTACTCTAGAGGACCTAGTAGAGCACTTCACAAATCACACAGGAGGACTGCCTCACCCTCTTTGTGTACCGACACAGCCATACGCGGACCGCATTGAGAAAGTAGTCCCCATGTTGCTGCGTAACGTTAACTTCCCCGTGTTTATCCTCGAGAAGAGGTGTATTAGATACCTCCCTCTGGATAGTTTCGAGGAGGACAATGTTAAGACCCTGCTGAACGAGACCATCTCTCAGCTGGACGTGGAGGATGTGCGTCTTATCTCCATGTCCGTCACAAAACACGGCATCACTCTCACTGACCCGGACTGTGTTCTATTCGACGTGTACAGCATCCCGTACAAACAAATCAAAAACTGTGAGATCGGGTCCCGCGAACAAATCGTATCTCTACCGAACACGTACAGTACGAAAACAGCCAGCACCTTCGGTTTGATTCACCGAGATAAGGATAGTGAGATCATTTACATAGCTTTAGCGGAGTACGAGGATAAGGGCATCTTCATCACTAAAACTATCAACAAGTTTAGATCGTATTTGGTGTGAATACGCGTTTTTAATGGTTGTTACAACCGATTTGAAAAATTCCTAGTATTACGGATTATGATGTTCCTTCTCTTTTTATTTGTATAGATACATTTGGGGTGTAATATAAACTGATTCACATGATCTGATTTTAGATTATTTTTCATGTGTTTTAAATTCTGTTAAATTCTTGATTCTTATGAGATTAAGATGATGATGTGTTTTAACGTTATTCATTATGCATTGGGGCATATGACTTAACACTGCCGTAGCGCCACCCTTGTCGATTACATTTATGTTTTATATTAGAATTGAATTAAATATTTTGATAGAAATTATTATGTGATTGACTCAGTAGCTGAAGCAGATTCCATTGAACACTGCTCATGTTTCTATTATTACCTTTTGGATGTATAAAACACTACCGCATTTTATCCAGTTATATAATTTATTAAATCGTTTTTAAATCTGAATTCGGTGAGGGACTTCTACCTCTCTCAGCAGCCACATTCTTTGAAATACATGAAATTACTAATTAGTGGTCACAAATTCAAACTAAATGCCTGAACTTGAAGTATCTATGTATCGCTAATATTTTAACGACAAGTACTGTGTGTACTTAACGACCAAATCCAATTACTGATGCTATATCTCCGTTTGTGCAGTCTGTACTTGCCTGTAACCTTGTTAAACCACATCCGTTTTAAATTTACCCGCCCGAGTATTCTTCAACACTGAGGTGAAATAACCAGGAGTTTTTAAATTGTCTTTATTCTAAATTTACACTATCATGATAAGTAAGTAAATTGAATGAGCAAATTTATAAAATTCTAAGCTTTCAGATTATAAAATACTCGCACTCACTGAAGTAGGCACCTCACTGTTAACTGAAGTTGGTAATATATTTTTTTCAACAGTCGATAAGATTTGATAGAGCACTGCACCTTGACAATCTATTGTGGCGCAATATGAGCTTCCTGCCACAGGATTTAAATTATTCCTGATTTCTCACCAATTCATTAACATAAATAATGAGACTCCGCGTACATTGAAATTAACGTAAGTACAATTTTATCACTTCTGTACTGCATCATCAAAATAGTCTACTCGTCTAGAAATTGTGTGAACAATAGGCATCATCATATGACTTCATTATGCCATTTTAATGAACATTTATACCCACCATCTTCTAGCTGTTCTTATCTATTGTGGTCATATTTTCATTTTAAAAAGACGTCCGGCGCATTGTTCTTTGTTTATAGAAAGTACCCTTAATTTCGCGCACACGCATTATTTATTATTTATTAGTGCATTGCATGTGTCCTCTCCCAGATATCCTCGGGGTCTATAATACTGTGCTATACTAGTAGTCGAAGTTAAATCCCTAACTTAATTTTTACAGTTTCTTCGAGGTCAGTTTGGGCCGCGAGCTTTTTGCGAAAACTAGACCAGACCACTTAAAAGAGATAAGTTTAGCGCATTGTAAAAATGTAATTGCTGAATTGAAACAGTCCAGAATTAACAATAATATTCATAAACGTACATGTGAGCCGCAGTCTTCTTTGCAGTGCCATGACACTGATTTGAAAAGTTTCACCCAGTTGTCGATCGCGAACACTATCTTGCCCCATGAAGATAAATTCGTCGAGATGAAATTTATTGATTCAGTTATCAACATGTCTACGAGGAAGGGAAGTCTAACAACTGCTAATTTTGTATGATAAGCAAGTTAACGAAACAGGTACATACCTTTCAATGTTTTGAATGCGGTTGATAAACCTGCATACCCGTGCTGCATTTTTTAGCAATGTTCGGAGTTGAATTTATGTTTATCTACATTTGATGATGCTTCCTAGAACATCCGGTCAAGGTTTATTAGCTCTGGAGTTTATTATCCATATTGGGTATATTAACACATGCCGAAAATAGGAATTTTGTGTCTTTGCAAAAATCACGTTTTACTTATTAATATGACTCCACTATGCGGGTGTGGCTCAAGGTTAGATAACTAGAAACTATTATTACAGCTGTCAACAAACAAGTGAGATTTGTAAAATACCGCTACATACCTGCGCTATAAATTTGACTCTAATAGTTGCAGTAGTAAAAGTAAATTACCGTAGATGACATTTACTTAACATAAGTAACTCAACATTGGTCACTGATTCTCAAACCTAAGAAGTTTTTAATACATTTAAGCTGACATGACAGTTATAATTTACAGGGAGAGTCAAGCTGTAATTAGCACACCCCTAGCTGAGTTATTAAAGTCATCATTAACATTCCAGTAACATTTTTGCTTGCTGGTGGTAACTCGGTTCAGTCCTTAAAACTTTTAAGTAACTAACTGATGTGTTTAAAGACTTGACCAACATTTTATCAATTCCACAGTGAGAGACTTCAAAACTTTTAATGATGGATTGAAATTAATTAATTTGACCTTACAAAACCATCTCATTCGGGATTATCTCTATATATTCTCACTATTCTCTTATATTATTTGCTTTCTTCTCTATATTACTCTACTCTGGAACCAGTAGACAGTAGAGCGCATTTTGCTCTGTAGTTTCCGTCCTGATGTTGTGTCCGAGGGTACTATTTTAAGTTGAGTTTACCGCATTACCACCAAGAGTTTCTGGACTGGCCTTGGTACAGATAATGATATCACCGGTCAACTTTAGCAAAAATTTAAGAGCGTAGCAAATTGAAAATAAAAGAGCAACACTTATTGGCAATAATAATAACAATTAAATAGGTTAATGTAGAATAGTATTAATGACCATGGATTTTGAGTCGCTGAAGTTTTCCGTCGAGACACAGGAATGTGATTGTTTGCTTCACTGCAATACAGTGGTGAGCTGATTATCCAAAGACAGGTATTGTTTTCAACTCAATATGGTTTACAGTTCCTTTACTTAAACATTTTTATAGGTAACTATTTACGGACGCTTCTTATCCCATCCTAACTCGATCTCCACAGATCACATCAATAATTGCTCAAATTTCAAGGAACTCGCAAGACAACAAGGAGGTTCTGAGCAGAAGGAGGATTAGACATGGAGTTCCAAAACTTCCTAATACAACTAAGGAACAATGTGAAGTACTTCTGATGACACTAGACAAGGTACAACATACCAGAGTTAAATAACTGTATGTATGTACTATAGCCTTTAATAAACGCGCACTTAAATTACTTCTAATATTTAAAATTCTTGATACACCAGACACCAACAATGAAACACAACCAAATTTTTTTGAAAGATAGATTTATATGAAGCAAAGATACAACGGCTCCGTCCGTTACGGCTCACTAAACGGCGACACGAAGACGCCGATACAAAGACAGAGATGGACCAGATTTAAGGAACAGATTGAGGTGGTTGTCGTAGTTTTTATAGTTTGTTGTTTTCATTAGAGCCCTCCATGGTGGAAGGCTTACCAAAAGAGTGATCCAGGACTCGAAAGAGAACCTGTTACACATTGGAACTTAATCTTACCTCAATAAATGTAATAGATTTGTAGTGTTGTAATTAGTTTAAAACTGAGGCGGGAGTTAGATTGAGGGAGCTTATAGTATGGAGCAAGATCTTTCCTTGCGTTTGACAAAATAGCTAATGAGGTCTGATAAGGTAATTTGAAACGGGGCGCTGCAAGCAGCTTGCTGGCTGACACGACCCAAAAACATAATGTTTTCGGTTTTGGTACGATAGAAAGGTTGAGAATGAAGCTGGTTTGATGATAGCTGCCGAGTGGCAGTTAAAATCGCCGATACAAAGACAGAGATGGACCAGATTTAAGGAACAGATTGAGGTGGTTGTCGTAGTTTTTATAGTTTGTTGTTTTCATTAGAGCCCTCCATGGTGGAAGGCTTACCAAAAGAGTGATCCAGGACTCGAAAGAGAACCTGTTACACATTGGAACTTAATCTTACCTCAATAAATGTAATAGATTTGTAGTGTTGTAATTAGTTTAAAACTGAGGCGGGAGTTAGATTGAGGGAGCTTATAGTATGGAGCAAGATCTTTCCTTGCGTTTGACAAAATAGCTAATGAGGTCTGATAAGGTAATTTGAAACGGGGCGCTGCAAGCAGCTTGCTGGCTGACACGACCCAAAAACATAATGTTTTCGGTTTTGGTACGATAGAAAGGTTGAGAATGAAGCTGGTTTGATGATAGCTGCCGAGTGGCAGTTAAAATCGCCGATACAAAGACAGAGATGGACCAGATTTAAGGAACAGATTGAGGTGGTTGTCGTAGTTTTTATAGTTTGTTGTTTTTCATTAGAGCCCTCCATGGTGGGGAAGCTTACCAAAAGAGTGATCCCAGGACTCGAAAGAGAACCTGTTACACCATTGGAACTTAATCTTACCTCAATAAATGTAATAGATTTTGTAGTGTTGTAATAGTTTTAAAAACTGAGGCGGAGTTAGATTAGGAGCTTAAAGTAATGGAGCAAGATCTTTCCTTGCGTTTGACAAAAATAGCTAATGAGGTCCTTATAAGGTAATTTGAAACGGGGCGCTGCAAGCAGCTTGCTGGCTGACACTGACCCAAAAACATAATTTTTTTCGTTTTGGTAACGATAGAAAGGTTAGAGAATGAAGCTGGTTTTGATGATATCGCCGATGCAGTTAAATCGCCGATACCAAGACAGAGATGGACTCAGAATATTAAGGAACAGATGAGTGGTTGTCGTAGTTTTTATAGTTTTTTGTTATTTTCATTAAGAGCCCTCCATGGTGTAAGAGCTTACCAAAAAGAGTGATCCAGGAACTCGAAGAGAACTGTTACACATTGGAACTAAATCTTACCTCGGATAAATGTAATAGATATTTGTAGTGTTTTTTCGGTAAATTAGTTAAACTGAGGGCGGGAGTTAATTGAGGGACCTTATAGTATGGAGCAAGATCTTCCTTCGTTTTTGATGACAAAATAGCTAATAGGTCTGATAAGGTAATTTTGAAACGGGGGCAGCTGCAAAGCAGCTTTCTGTTCTGACACGACCCAAAAACATAATGTTTTCGGTTTTGGGTACGATAGAAAGTTGAGATGAAGCTGTTTGATTGATAGCTGCCGAGTGGCAAGTTAAAATCGCCCGATACAAAGAACAGAGGATGGACCAGATTATAAGTGAACCAGATGAGGTGGGTTGTCGGAGTTTTTTATAGTTTGTTAGTTTCATTAGAGCCCCTCCTATGGTGGAAGGTTACCAAAAGATGATCCAGGACTCGAAAGAGAACCTGTTACACATTGGAACTAATCTTACCTCAATAAATGTAATAGATTTGTAGTTGTTGTAATTAATTTAAAAACTGAGGCGGAGTTAGGATTTGAGGGACTTATAGTATGGAGCAAGGATCCTTTCCCTTGCGTTGAGACAAAATAGCTAATGAGGTCTGATAAGGTAATTTGAAACGGGGCGCCTGGCAAGCAGCTTGCTGGCCTGACACGAACCCATAAAACATAAATGTATTTTTTTATTTTATCGGTTTTTGGTACGATAGAAAGGTTGAAATGAAGCTGGTTTAATGAATAGCTGCCGAGTGGCAGTTTAAAAAAAATCGCCGATACAAAGACAGAGATGACCAGAATTAAGGAACAGATTGAGGTGGTTGTCGTTAGTTTTTTTATAGTTTTGTTGTTTTCCATTAGAGCCCTCCATGGTGGTATTGCTTACCAAAGAGTGATCCAGACTCGAAAGAGAACTGTTACACATGGAACTTAATCTTACCTCAATAAATGTAAATAGATTTGTGTGTTGTAATTAGTTTAAAAAACTGAGGCCGGGGAAGTTAGATGAGGGAGCTTTATGTAATGGAGCAAGATCTTTCCTTGCGATTTGACAAAAAAGCTTAATGCGGTTCTGATAAGGTAATTTAGAAACGGGGCGCTGCAAGAGCAGCTTGCTGGCTGACACGACCCAAAAACATAATGTTTTCGGTATTGGTACGATAGAAAGGTTGAGAATGAAGCTGGTTTGATGAAAGCATGCCGAGTGGCAGTTATATCGACGATACAAAGACCCAGAAGATGACCCAGATTTAATGAAACAGATTGAGTGGTTGTCGGTAAAGTTTTTATAGTTTTGTTTGTTTTCATAGGAGCCCTCCATGGTGGAAGGCTACCAAAAGAGTGATCCAAGGAACTCGAAAGGAGAACCTGTTACACATTGGAACTTAATCTTACCTCAATAAATGTAATAGATTTGTAGTGTTGTAATAGATTTAAAAACTGAGGCGGGGAAGTTAGTTGAGGTACCTATAAGTAGGAGCAAGAATCATTCCTGCGTTTGACAAAATAGCTATTGAAGGTCTGATAAGGTAATTTGAAACGGGGCGCAGCAAGCAGCTTGCTGCTGGCTGACACGACTCCAAAAACATAATGATTTTTTCGGTTTTTTGGGTACATATAGAAAGGTTTTGTAAGAAAGAAAGGCTGGTTTTGAGATAGATGCCGTATGGCAAGTTAAAATCGCCGATACAAAACAGAGATGGACCCAGATTTTAAGGAACATATTTGAGGTGGTTGTCTAGTTTTTATAGTTTGTTGTTTTCATTAAGCCCTCCCATGGTGGAAAGGCTTTCCAAAAGAGTGATCCAGGACCTCGAAAGAGAACCTGTTTACACATAGGAACTTAATCTTACCTCAATAAATGTAATAGATTTGTAAAGTGGGTTGTAATTAGTTAAAAACTGAGGCGGGAGTTAGATTGAGGGAGCTTATAGTATGGAGCAAGATCTTTCCATTGCGTTTGAAACAAAATATGCTTAATGAGGTTTTCTGATAATAATATGAAACGGTGCGCTGCAAAAGCAGCTTTGCTGGCTGACACGAACCCACAAACATTAAATGTTTTCGTTTTTGGTACATCGAAAGGTTTGAGAATGAAGCTGGTTGAGTGATAGCTGCCGAGTGGGCAGTTTTAAAATTCGCCGGATTACAAAGACCAGAGATGGACCAGATTTAAGGAACAGATTTTGAGGTGGTTGTCGTAAGTTTTTTTATAGTTTTGTTTGTTTTCATTAGAGCCCTCCATGGTGGAAGGCTTACCAAAGAGTGAATCCAGGACTGAAAGAGAAACCTGTTTACACATTTGGAACTTAATCTTACTTCAATAAATGTAATAGCTTAGTATTGTTGTAAATTAGTTTTAAAACTGATGCGGGGAGTTAGATTGAGGGAGCTTTATAGTAAGGAGCAAGCTCTTTCCTTGCGTATGAACAAAATAGCTAATGAGGTCTGATAAGGTAATTGAAAAACGGGGCGCCCTTGCAAGCAGCTTGCTGGCTGACACACCCAAAAAACTTAATGTTTTCGTTTTTGGTACGATAGAAAGGTTGAGAATGAAGGCTGGTTTATGATAGCAGCGAGTGGCAAGTTTTAAATCGCCATACAAAGACAGAGATGGAACCGCAGATTTAAGTAACAGATTGAGGTGGTTTGTCGTAGTTTTTTTTTATAGTTTAGTTGTTTTCATTAGAGCCCTCCAAGGTGGAAGGTGCCCCCCCCTTTTTTTTACCAAAAGAGTGGATCCAGGACTCGAAAGAGAACCTGTTACAACATAGGAACTTATCTTAACCTCAATAAATGTAATAGATTTTAGTGTTTGTAATTAGTTTAAAAACTGAGGCGGGAGTTAAGATTGAAGAGCTTATATCATGGGAGCAAGAATCTTTCCTTGCGTTTTGACAAAAATAGCTAATGAGTCTGATAAGGTTAATTTTTGAAACGGGGCGCTGCAACAGCTTTGCTGGCTGACAAAACGACCCAAAAAACAAATGGTTTTTCGGTTTTGTACGATAGAAAGGTTGAGAAATGAAAGCAGGTTTGATGATAGCTGGCCGAGTGCAGTAAAATTCGCCGATACAAAAAGACAGAGATGGGACCAGATTTAAGGAACAGATTGAGGTGGCTGTCGTAGTTTTTTTAAATAGTTGTTGTTTTTCATAGAGCCCTCCATGGTGGAGAGGCTACCAAAAAAGAGTGATCCAGGACTCGAAAGAGAACCTGTTTACACATTGGAACTTAAATCTTACCTCAATAAATGTAATAGAATTTGTAGTGTTTAATTAGTTTTAAAAACTGAGGCTGGTTTAGATTGAGGGAGCTTATAGTATGGAGCAA